CCCAACCCGCCTCCTTAATTACTTTTTCTGCAAAAACCTTAGCATTTGCATCCCTTAGAATCCACTATCTTATCCTTGGCTCTTCTTATCTTCCCTTTTTCTTTGCCTTCTCTTTCAAACGAATAGTCATAACCAAAGGCCGGTGTTTGGTGACCACATTCTCCCCTAGGATGACCTTGCAGTTTATGCAACTTTGTCTATATGTGCTCCTTGTGAGCAGGAAGTCTATTTGTGTTGCATTTGTTCCACTCCGAAAAGTTATCAAGTGGGAATCCCGCTTCTTAAATCAAGTCTTAGCCAAAATTAAGTCATGATTGGGAAAAATCTATAATAGCCTCACCACTTGCATCCCTCTACCCATACCCAAAGCCTCCATGGACACTCTTGAAGCCATCTCGACTTACCCCAACATGCCCATTTAAATCACCTCCAATATATATTTTCTGTGTGTGGGGGACACCTTGTACTACCTCATCTTAAGTCCTCCCAAATTTGTCGTTCCTCTTCTGCATCTAAACTAACTTAAGGAGCATAAACACTAATAACATTCACAATCTCCTTGCCACATAGCAACTTCACCCTTATCAACCTATCATTCCTCCGATAGACCTCGATTGCTTCTTTCGACAACCTCTCATCAAATATTACACCAACTAAATTTCTAGCTCCACCATTCCTAGTCATGTGGCTCGAGTCCAACGTATCACACCTTATACTCCAAAACCAAGCCTCGAGCTCCTTCTCCTGTTTACCTTGTCTCTTGTAAGCACATGATGTTTACACGTCTTCTCCTCATCACTTCTATCACTTCTGCCGGTTTCTCCATGAAAGACCCCACATTTCAAGAACCAATTCGTAGACTAGAGTCCTTCCTCACACGTTCCCTCATACCACGCTCCCTTGTACCACGCTCCATCTTACCACACTCACTCGTACTACGCTCCTTTGTACCACGCTCCCTTATGCCCCCAACTGCAAGCCCTTGCTCATTTGACACCACACTAAGGCAATGTGGCGCGTCGCTTCCGGGTGACGACCTAGCAACCCTTGCATACTTATCACTACACCCGGTCTGGAAAGTGCAACGCATCGCTGAGTAGGGAACGCCCCCGCGAAAATATCATTTTGGCGGATTTCTTTTAAAAATGTGATGAAATGATACCTTGATAGCCACTGAATTTTTAGTTCAGCAAGGAGATAAAGATGTTGAAAATAAGGTGAAGTGACAGAGAAGTAGGAGAGATTTTGGATACACGGGGAGGATGAGATAGCTAAAATCATACATGAGGTAATATTTAATTGAGTGAGCTCAATGGTTTGTTTTCTTAATCTAGCTTAAATATGTCCTATGTTTTGAAGTTGAAACCCCTTTAGAGATTTTGGCTGAAACAAATGGTTTACTTAACCGAGTATTTTTGTGTTTTTTATTCCACTCTCTACTTCCCACTCCCTTTCTCGCTGCGTTGACATAGCTTTGTGAGATTTTGTTTGAAGTTGAAGAGCTAGTGGAGCTTAAGGGCCATTGCGTAGATCACCACCATATCTGGAAGAAAGTAGTTTTTCGTTAGCGTAAGATTTTGACATGAGGGATGAAAGCTGCTACCTCCTATCAATGTTTTTCGGAGAAGAACCAGAAACAAATTTAGCCAAGCAACGTTGGCCGTCGACTTTAAGGAGACAATAGTGAGAAAAAAAGAGAAAAAAATTAGAGGAGTTACTTCTTTGTTACAGTTTCCATTTTGAGGTTTGCTTCCAGATATATATTTTTCCTTATTATAGTTTTGTTGGACTAAATCATGTGCGCATGAGAGTCACATGCATTTTAGTATGCCACGAATCATTTCATGTTTTAAGTTTGGTGTTTACGTTTTTCGTGAATCATTTCATGTTTCTAAGTGTTTATGAGACGGAATTGTTATAAAGTTTTAAATGAATAAGTTGAGTGATTCCATGCTTCATAGCTGCTGTTCTTGATGTTGACTCCTAGAATATGACTATCTAGTCACTTTTGTTCTCTTAGTGTCTTCTATTCAAGCCCAATCTTAGAAAGTAATTTGTTTGTATTGGTTTCATGCGGAGGTTGAAGAGTTTAATAATGGGCATGCTGTTATTGTTGTGTTCCTGATTAAAGTGGTCAAATTGACGTGATTATCATTATCCTCTTTGACGAATTCGTTCCACTTCTCATCGTGTTAAAAAAATTTCAAGCTGTTTTTAAGTCAAAATCCTACCTTTTTTCTTTCCTTGTAAGAAGTTTCTTTGGTAGACTTACTATGAATTCTTCATTGTGAGATTGCGAGTATTGTTTGAGGCTTTTTACTTTGCGTGGGGAGTATGAGGCTTTCGCTTGCATTGTGCTGAAATGTTGCAATCTGTTTTTATAGTCCTGAAGGGAATAGGATAAGTTGTTCCAAATTAGTGATTTTGTGGCATTGATGGTCTATGTTAATATCTGTGTACGACTTGTAAAACATTTTCATGCTTTGTGTCCAAGATGAATGGTCGAAATGTCTATACGTCTGTACTTGAGATGAAATGAAGAGTTACGTAGTATGCGGTTAGTATGGAATGCACGAGCCTCCTCTTATCTAATGTGGAATAAAATTACGTATTAGGCATCTTTATGGGCTAAGGTAGTGGTTTATTTTGGTCTAATTTGTAATTTGTTTAGATTTATGATATCTTAATGTATACAATTATTTCTTTATGGGTGCCTTGTTGGGACCACATGGATATTCTTAAATTGTACTTTCCAACCATTGAATTTGTTAATAGTAGCTCTTATTACATACCATTGATTGGTAGCTTGCTTGGTGAATTGTCCTCTACCATTTGTAATTTTAAAAGTTGTCAACAAAGCTTAGCATAGATCTTCACCAGTATCACTTAAACTTCTCTTATCTGCTTAAATGCTTTCCTTTTTTTTTACTCTCTTTTTGCTTCATTATTAGGAACTGAGAGAGCTTGAGACTTGGTGAAACTGAGTTGAGCTGAATGTGTTACTATTCATGTTCAAGCTCATTTAACTTAGTTGATTTTGAGTGAGATCAAATATAATCAATTTAAGCTCAATGAATGAGTTTTCTGCCTTTCTCTATTTTAAATCTAATGAATAGCTGACATTTATATTGTACTATGAGCCATCAAACTAAGGAAAATGTACAAAGTAAGGCAACTGGGAAGAACGTTTAAAAAAGTCTATTTGATGATGTTTAGTTGCAAGATTTTATGGTGGCCTATAGTTTAGTCTACTTGCATCAATTATATCTACAATTGCTTTTTAAACTATTCCCTCCGCCTCATAAAGAACTAATTAGTTTCCCCTGTATCACTATGCTATCTTTTTGTGTATCTTCGCAAATCAGTTTCGGCTCTCTTGAATGTGAAGGGGATGAGGATATTAGCCATGCATGGTAGGATGGCTTCTTGACCTGGCCAGGTTACCTGGCTGTGTAGTGTAATAAATTTGAGGGACGGGGATTCTGAAATTTTGCATCATGGTGAATTTGGTTGTGATATTGAAAATATCTGACGTGGATAACTTTGAGGATTTCGGTGAGTTGGAGATATTTGGGTAGTAGTTTAGGAGTCTTGGTTTTTATTGGTGGAGGAGTTTCTAAATAAATATTTTGGCCTATATGGATTTTTTGACTTATCTTTTTAAGAAAGTTGAGGAGAGTGAATTTGGAAGATGCAACTGTGAGAGTTACATATGGGAAGTGAAAGGTGTGTGCAATGGTGTAAATTTTTTATGTTATCTTATTTATTAGGCTGTATTGCACGTGGAGGATTTTTTTTCTAAAGCATATATATATAAATAATTCCTCTGTTTCCATTACAATGCAAAAATTTGATCATCACATTTGACCATTATTTTCAATTAGTGAAGGTTATAAAATGTATATTGAACGTATACATTTAGGCTATTTTAACAGCATTTTACGTAGTAACATTTGATATTATAGTATTATTAAAAACATAATCAAAGTTTGTCAAAAAGTGTAAAGTCAAATTGCTGCAATTTTAAGGAAATGAGAAGAGTATGAAATTGCTTGATCTGAACTTTCTGAAGTTGAGAAATTTCAAAGAAATATCAAAATATAGACGTTGCTTTTCAATTTCAATCTTCATTCTATCAAATTTGGAAGTTAAAAATCAATCATTTCAACAGTAAAGAATAGAAGATAGTTCTGTTGGGTCATATTATTTCTATCATGTGTCTATTTTACATGCTCATTCATCTTTGTTCAGGTGACTTTCACTCTAGAATTCTGTGTGTTTCTTCTTTAATATCTAGCAGTGCCACCCATTAGGTCTGACTGTATTGGTTGAGCAGGTATCCAATTTTCTCTCCAACAAATGTAGTTTGGGTGATTGTAAGCAGGTTGCAGTACATTTGATGTTCTAAGCATTCAGATTTTAGGAGTAAACCTGTGTTTTACAACAATGGTTTGTTAAATTTTCAAACCTGGCAATTATTGTTTTCTTTATTTACTTGGCAGGGAGGCCAAAGATGAATGGTTGTTTTTATTCCATATAGTACATGGTGAATATTACTTGGGCTTAAATACTTGGTTGGAGTGATTAATGGTGCAAACACGAAAAAGTATGCTTGTCCAGTTATTTATTGACACGGTCACTGAACAATGAAGCATGGTATCTGTAATATGGGGGGAAAGTCATAGCTCCTTGTTCGTTTAATCATAACCTACTTGTGCAAGCCTCATTTCTGACCTTTTGACTTGTGGATTGTTGTATAACTTGACTCGTTTTTTTTTTTTTTTTTTTTTTTTTTTTTTTTAATAATTATATACTACTGTTTCTTATTTGATTCATGTTTTATTCATAATATGAAGTTTTTTATTACCAAATTTTAAGTGGTAGAGCTTATGAGAACATACCAATAAAACATCAACATAGGATCTTTGATCCTATTTATGCATGAATAAGCTCACCTTGTGGGTAGTTCCTTCCATTTACCCTTCAGTTTTACTTTGCAGCATACGTCCTTCAGCCCTGACAGTAAAATGCTTGTGATTGTTGGAGACAATCCTGAGGGCATTTTGGTTGATTCCAGAAATGGAAAGGTATGTGTGGAAAGTGCTGGTTAGCATTTTGTCGATGTTCATTATTTTCTCAAGAAGCAAGTAATTGATAAATGATTTTGATCTATGCAGACTATTACACTTTTGACTGGACACTTGGATTACTCATTTGCATCAGCATGGAACCCTGACGGTGTCACTTTTGCTACCGGAAACCAGGATAAGACCTGCCGAATTTGGGATGTCCGAAACTTGTCAAAATCTGTGTCTGTTCTCAGGGGTAATTTGGGAGCTATCCGGTCCATCCGCTACTCATCAGATGGCTGCTTCATGGCTATGGCAGAGCCAGCAGATTTTGTACATATATTTGACGTGAAGAATAATTATGAAGAGGAGCAAGAAGTTGATTTCTTTGGTGAAATATCTGGCATCTCATTTAGTCCAGACACCGAGTCTCTTTTCATTGGAGTGTGGGATCGCACATATGGAAGCCTGTTGGAGTATAGTCGTCGTAGGAATTATTCGTATTTGGATTGCTTAATTTGAGGCTCATTTATCCTTGTCTGCACCCATTAGGTGTGCATGCTTTCACAGAGAAGAGGGGGGGGGGGGGGGGTTGGCTGAGGGTGTCCTTGTATATGTAGTTTATGGTCGCACATAAGTGACTTTGGTATGATTTCTTGTATATCTTTGTTTCCTGAATGTAATATGAATAACGTGTTCTGATCAAGTGGAGGGATGTACAGAAGGCTAGATAGTATTTTCATTGCAAGAACATAGATAACCAAGATATACCCAAGGCAAAATTATGGCCTTTTGTACCTAGTGGACATAGTTTTTTAACAAGATATTTTCAGGCATTTTTCGCGAAATTTGCTCAACTGTATTGGAGTGGTATGCTCTTTGAACTACAATATGGGTTATGAATGCTGAAGGCTAGATAGCATTTTTAATTTTTTATTGCAATATGGGAACCAAGTCAAAATTATGGTTTTCTTACAATGGCGAAACATTGTAAAATTCTAAGTAGTGACTCTCTAATATTGCTTTTTTTAAAAAGTTGTGCCCCCTCTTTTGGAAGTTATATATTATAATCCTCTTTTACATTAAGTAACTATAAGGTGACCTCCATTATGTAGCTGTTAATTGGGTTATGTTGTTTTTCAATCATCGTTAGTGGGGCCCACTCTCCACCTATAAATATTTTTTTTCTCAATTTTACATGTTGAAAAATGTTCTGTTAAAGAATTTGGGGTAATTTTGGTTCTTAAGAGACAAAATTGAGCTTGGATTCAGCAAAAAAAAAAAAAAAAAAAAAAAAAAGTGAGACAAGGCAATTACATTATTTTTTGGTCGATTTCGAGCTCAATTTGGACCCTTCAAACATTTAATGTACTCCTTAAGTTCCTAATACAGTAATAATTAAGAATGTCATGAGAAAACAATGCTTCAATTGATGTTATTGATGCTTAATTGTTTAATATTTCTGTTTTAGCTCTTAATTTACCACTCTTAGGATGAATTTATCATTTTTTTTCCCGCCAAATTAATTTTTTTTCTTCCTTGGCAAATTTGCCTTCCCTCTTCCCCTTCTTTCACCCTCCTAGACTCCTAGTAAACCAAACTAATATGTAACTAAACATTTAGCAGTCGTGTCAATGCACGAGATGTATTAATTTGCGGAAGATTATAATATTTCTTTATTTCTTCTATTGAAATATTGGAAAATATTTTGTTGTTTGATTGATGTTGATTGAAGCTAGTTGTTTTTTTTTTCCTTGTTTGATTAATATGTTTTTTAATGGGGGTTGTTAAATATCTCCCTCGAATTTCCAACTAATGCCCGCAAAATAAAATATATTTTACAAATTTACCCTTATATTAAAAAAAAAAAATTTACCCCCCCAAACCCTCACTCCCTCTTCTCTCTCCTAAAAACAATTCTCTCTCTAAACCACCACCACCTCCTTTTACCACCCACCACCACCCCCTCCTCTTTTAACCACCCACCACCCCCTCCTCTTTTAACCACCCACCACCACCTTCTTTTACCTCCAGTTTCTCGATCTTCACAGTTAGCCGTGGAAATGACAAGGAAGGACAAGAGGAAGGCGGTCACCGAAGACAACTAATAATAATAACAACTAATAACAATAATAATTCTAACAACGCACAACTAATAATAACAACTAATAATGATAATAATAATAATTCTAACAATGCACAACTAATTATAATAGCAAACACAAGTAATTATAATAACAAACACAACTACTATAATCAAAATAATAATAATAACAAATACGTGAAATTCAAAACCAAAAAGAAAATAATAATTCGAAATTCCCAGGCAAGCGCCCAGAAATTTCGAAAAACCTAGGCAGAAACGCCTAGTTTTTTTCGAAACTGCCTAGGGTGTTCGAAAAAATTAGGCGTTTTTGCCTAGGTTTTTTTGAAATTTCTTGACTTTTTCCTGGGATTTAATAATCACCTTCACCACAACAAACACTAGTAGAAAATCAACCTGAAAACAATTACTATGAACAACAAACACCTCCAGTTTATCAAGGAAGCAACTCTCAATATTCTGACAGCTAAGAAGAAAATGTCTCGGAGACACCTCAATACCCTCCAACGGCTCCAAGAATGCAGACCAACCTTCCAGCCGCTAAAGCAAGTCACATTTGGTCAGTTGCAGGGGATGATACTCTAATTGGATTGTATTTAGAAATAAGTGAATGTGTGATTGCTAGCACAAACCAAAAAGCATCTGAGCTTTGGCGAAAAATACATGAGACATATAACAACGCTCAAAGGGAGAAGCCGCATATACTCCCGCCAAGAGCTTTGAAGAGTTTGGAGTCGCATTGGAGAAGAATGTCAGCAGATATAGTACAGTGACAATCTTGCTATGAGGAAGCGGGTAAACTTCCGGAAAGTGGAAGTGGTTACAACGAAGCTGGCCGAATTAAAAATGCATCCAAATTGTTTCATATCTCTAGTGGTCACAATTTTACTTTTCCTCACGGAGTTGAAATGGTTAAGGATGGGCTTTGTCAAAGGAGGAAAGAAAGGCTTGTGGTGCTGATGACGAGGAAGATAGTAGTGGAAGTGGTAAGAGGTCTAGGGCTGAAGTTGGGGATGAAGCCCCTAATGACGGTTTCTCGTCAGGAGGTCTACCATGACCCGACAATGTAAAAAAAAGAAAAGGCTAAGCGTAGGGGCAAAGCGGTGGCTTCCGAGAGTGCATTTTTTACCATTGGTGAACAAATGAAGGCGTGTACTCAAGTTAGAGAAAGGGAGGCAATTATGAAACAACAGAGGTTGGAAATTGACAAGGAAAAGGAAAAGAGAAAAAAAAAAGCAAGTTAAATTACAAGAGAGGAAGATGAATTTTGATCTGCTGCAAGCTCTTTTAGCAAAGACTACACCGCTGACCCCTGCTGAAGAGGCGTGCAAGGAAGAATTAATCCAACAAGTGTACGGTCGAGGGGTTTAAGTTAATTAACTCTAATTTTAAGTGTAATGTTTTAGCTTTGGGCATGGTTGTATTTTATGTTTAAGTTAAATTAATGTTGTTGTATTTCAATGGTGTGTTAAGTTTACTTTTAATAATGTATTTTGATATTGTAATGTTGTATTAAGTTTGTATTAAAGTTTGTTTTATTGTCATGTTAAGTTGGTTTTATTGTCATGTTTTAATAGTGTATGAAGTTTGTTTTATTGTCATGTTAAGTAATTTATGTGTCTTCAATTTTATTTTATTTAATTTGTTGAATTTTCACTACATTGCTTTATCATGCATTGAATTGTCATTTACGAGTCATACCTGTTGTAAAACCCCCAAAATTCGGGTCTTTGGAAAACGATAAGAGTAACCTTTTTACCTTTTAAAACCAACCATCGAACCTTGGGAGTGTTACTGCTACACTTATTTTCCATAGAGAATAAATGCAAACCAAAACAAAATACCATTTTATAAACTAAGTGATCTGAGTGGCGGCAAGAATAAAATAGTAATTACATCCAAACTGTAAAACATTTTAAAAACATCAATTAAAAGGAAAATAAATAAGTTCAGAATTAACTAAATTGTCTTAGCTACGTGATTATTCTAACGTCTCCTCACACACAACCGAGTGCCCTCTTACCAACCTGCAAAATAAATCAGAAACAAGGAAAGAGAGAAAACTCCCAAAATCATATAAACTGAGTAATTCCAACTCCATCCCGTAAAATAATAATTTTAGTTCGAAAAACATTTTACACAACACAACTTCATCGAAATTATAATAATAAGTCAAAATCAAGTTGTCACATAAAATTTATTACTTTAGTTAAGAAAGGGAAAGAGAACGCCAGTAAGCCGGGACTAGTCCCTGTCCCCACCTACTTTACAGAGGGTCGCGCGTAACCCCAAATGGCCATAAATTAAACAGAATGTCCCTAGTGTGCACACCCCTCTCTAATACCCAGTGATTAGGAGAAAGACTAAACAGTAATATACATTAATTTAAACCAACTAGTAGCAACCATAACTGATTAGGGGATTTTTATCCACCAATCACCGTCTGACAAGTGGACCAACCAGGTTCCGCCACGTGTCCTTCACGAAGGCCAACAGGAGCCTGCCACGTGTCAATCACAGATACGTCCTCTACGGACCAATTTAGACACGCCACGTGTCCGCCCATGCCAAATGGGAAAACCGGCCATCAAGGCCCAATCCAGTCTAGAGGCCCGATCAGCTCTAGGTTTACCTTAAACCTAGAGAGTGGCACGCTTCTCAAGGCTATAAATACTTAATTAATCCTCATTAGTTAGGTAATCGAAGAATCAAGAAATCAAGCAGAGAAGAACAGAGTTATTACGGAACACCAACAACCGGCTAATCTCGCTAACGACGCAGATTACCAACACTAAGCACTCTCACCTAGAGAGATCTTATTACTTTAATTTCCGTATTAATTACTTCTTAATCAGGTACTAACTTGACCGTTGGAGGCGGAGCTCTCAGGAGTCTCCGTTATTTTGCAGGTACAGACGTCCGGTTCCAGTCTCGGAATTGTAACTCTCCCGCAGGACATCAGAAAACCCCGAAACATCTGGCGCCGTCTGTGGGGAGAGTACTTCAGAGATGGCATCCAAGTCTGTACCGACTCCAGAAGAGAGGCGTCCCCTAGACGACCCTCAAGTTCAGTCGGACCATGATACCGAGAGTGAATTTGAAGTTGAAACTCATACAGCTCCAGACGAGACCCTAAGGGCCCGACGTACCCGTCATACCGAAAGGAGGGAACGGGAGCATCTTCAAACAGGAAGCGAGCCAGCAGGCGCACCGCTTGCTCGGCAACAGCCGACAGATGGGTCTGCTCCCATCACAAGGAACGAACTCATGACCTTCATGAGGGACTTCAAGGGAGAGATTCAAGAGTTGATCAACAAAAAACCGCCTGCTTCAGTCAAAGAGCAGTCGGCCAAGAAACCTTCCACTTCACTGAAGAGGAAGCCAGTTCAAGGGCGAGAGGCGACTCCCCATCCTAAATCCAAGAAGCGGGAGCCACCTGCTCTTGATTTCACAAAACTCCGTTATCCTACGGGAAATAGGAAACCGGTTCGTCATATTCAGGCGGACGGGTCAAAGCAAACGTTCACAGATGCTCGGCTCCTGCTAGAGCAGAAGAAGAGTGACCGATTATCAGAGTCGGCTTCTACTTCAAATTTTCAAGAGAGTTTGCGAAATGCCTCGATGAGGCATACTCAGTCGTACCATGAGAGTCAGTCAGGCGGCACCTCCCGTCAGTCCGGCTTTCATAGTGCCCAGGCGGTACCAAACTTACCATTTGTGCCGCAACAACAGTATTTTATGCAGCCACCTCCATTTGGTGGACCTGCAGCAAAAAACGTCCAACCTATGGACTGGCAGCTACGGCTGCTTAGACTTGGTGAACAGCCGTCGGCCTTCT